CTAATAAGCAAGTATAGCAAGTTTTGGGGTCCCTGGCTGGCTCAGTGGGTGGAGTGTGTGGTTCTTGATCTCAGGGATGTAAGTTCGAGCCCCAAGTTGGGTGTAGAGATTACTTAAAAATAAAATAAAATCTTAAAAAACAAACAAATAAACAAAAGAAAAACAGAAGTCAATTGCTTTCCTATATACCAACAATGAACAAGTGGAATTTGTAATTTAAAACAACAACATTCACATTAGCACGCCCAAAAGTGAAATACTTAGGTGTACATCTAACAAAATGTACATAAGATCTATCTGAGAAAAACTATAAAACTCTGATGAACAAAACTAAAGAAGAATTAAATAAATGGAAAGATAATCCATCTTTATGGATATGAAGAATCAGTATTATCAAAATATCAGTTCTTCTCATCTTGACCTATAGAGTCAATGCAATCCCAATCCCAGAAAGTTATCTTAAGGATATTAACAAACTGAGGCAAAAGGCCCAGAATAGCCTATACAATACTGAAGGGGAAAAACAAAGTTAGGAAACTGAAACTATCTGATTTCAGGGCTTACTATAAAACTATGGTAATCAAGGGGTACCTGGATGGCTCAGTTGGTTAAGTATCGACTTCAGCCCAGGTCACGATCTCGTGGTTTGTGGGATCACACCCTGCATTGGGCTCTGTGCTGACAGCTCGGAACCCGGAGCCTACTTTGGATTGTGTGTTTCCCTCTCTCTGCCCTTCTCAAGCTCTATCTCTCTCAAAAATAAATAAACATTAAAAAAATTTAAAGCTATAATAATCAAGACAGTGTAGTATTGGTGAAAAAATAGACAAATAGATCAGTGTACCAGAATAGAGAGCCCAGAAATAGACCTCTATAAATATAGTCAAGTAACCCTTGACAAAAAAAGCAGAAGCAATACAATGGATCAAAGATAATCTCTTCACTTTTGGTGACTGTGAAGATGGGGAGATCCTGGCCTGGCCAAGGATGTTGGATCTCATTGTACTCCTAACTCTTCGACCTTTGTCTGAAGTCCCTCAATAAAATGGTTTGACCCTCTCCCCTTAAAAAAAGATAATCTCTTCAACAAATGATGCTGGAACACTGTATTATTCACATGAAGAAAGAAAGAAAGAAAGAAAGAAAGAAAGAAAGAAAGAAAGAAAGAAAGAAAGA